TTCCCAATTTCCTGCATGGGGCTGAGGTACAAAAACCCAACCAACCAAACAAAACCCACAGTGTTTAGAGCCAGAAGTTCTTCATTAAAATCCTGTTTCCAGGACTTGCCAACTGGAGGAAAGTTTGTGAGTCCTTTGCTCCTCCCTAAAATGGAGATAATTCCCTCTTGAACTAATTAGGAGAATGGAGTAAGGTGAAGTGGTGAGCGCATAATACATACTCAGGTACCTATGTTGGGTTCAGCACCCTTTCTGTATATTCTAACCTGAGAGTGAGTGAGTCTGAGAGATGGCATTGGTCAAACACTTTACATCCTCCCCCTAGCTTCCTTTCAAGCAAAAGGAAATGATCCAAGACATCCACAGGCAGCCCCCCTCCCATGGAGCTACAAAATGAGCTGAGACCCAGCCTATAACAGAGGTGAAGGTGTCCTTCCCCCTTTTCTCAGACTTCCTAGCCCACAGTTAACCAAGGCTAGGTGCACACCTGGTACATCCAGAGACACCTTAAATGCTGCCTTCTCCTGGAAGCCTCCATCCTCTTCTTTTAGTTCTCATTTCTTCCTGCCTTGAGGTTTCTAGGACTCTATCTGTCCCACTCTTTGGGCAGGCATCCCTTTCTCACTCATGTTAGTTTTAGGTTAAGAGCAGAGTCTTCAAAGTTAGAGAGACCTAGATCGCAATTGTGACTGGCTGGTATGGAGCAAGACACTTTTCCTCTCTGTGCCTCAGTTTTCTCATGTGTCCCCCCATGTAATTTTAGGGTTATTATACTTCTTAACATCATAAGAATGTTAAGACTACAGTACTTAGCATAATATGGAGCATCAAAGTGTTATCTATTTTTATAATCAAGGGGGCCTCCCCATAAGACTCTTGATTTATTCCCCTCCCCAGCAGCTCCTCACACATGGTAAATAACAGGTAATCACATTACTGTTTTCAGAAAAGAAAAGGGATTGGGCCGTAGGGCTCTCTCCTGGAACGGTGCCAACCCTTTCTGGTCTTCCTCACTTTATGTAAATCTCTCTCCAGCTACAGATAATGACAGCCTGGAGTTTCCAGGGGCTATGGAATGTCCAGGCACTGCCTTGCATAACCACAGAAATTGAGAACACTAGGCCCAGAAGGGTCCTCTCAAATCATTCAGTCCAACAGTACCCGCATTGTAAGATAGGCAAACCGAGGCCCACTCAGTAAGTCAGCATCCACCACAGGCATTTTGAAGAATTCTAAAAATAACATCTCCAATTACTCTTTCCACTTGTTTTGCTTTTTGTCATCACATTTCCCTTACCTGCCATCACGCACTTATTCTTTTACTTGTTTATTTTCTGTTTCCTCTGCTAGGTGTAAGTTTCATGAGGGCAAGAACATTGTCGTGTTCACAAATGCATCCCTTGCACCTTGTCCAAGGTCTGGCACAGGTTTACATTCAGTGAATACTTGTCGCATGGATAACTGGAAGAATGCCATTTGGACATTTTCCCTTAGAGGCTCAGATGTAGCAATTCACTCACTTGGTCATTTATCCAAAAATCATCTGATGAATATCTTGTGTGTGAGAAGTTTTTCAATAAATCCTGGTGAACAAGATCTGTCTGTGTTCTTAAGCAGCTCTCTGATTAGTGGACAATAGCTGCCAGCTATACAGTAGACTGAGGATCTACTATATGCCAAGCTGTGGGCTGGTAACTTATATGCATCTTCTTGGTCTTAGCACAGTTCTTGCAATTGCAAGGAAACATGCCTCATTCAGGACTCCTTAAGAAAAGGCTTAGGAGTTATTAGGAGGGCCAGGAGGGCTAAAGGCTAAAACTGAAAGGGAAATATCAAGGACTGAGATGATGCCACAGGCTGGCTGCTCTTTAAGCCTGCTTGGTCTTTCTTTAAGAGTGTCTCTTCTTTTTCCTGGATGTGTGCTTCTCTCTCTTTTACTGACTTACTGGTTCTTTCTTCTATTCTAAATTTTGGGAGGGGACCACAAGACTCATTGGCTTGGCCAATGGCCTTCCTTATTCCTTAAGTGAGCATCTACAGCCCAGACCACTTTTTGGATTACTATTCGGCCTACAGGGTGAACATTTAGCTTCTCAGGTACCCTGAGCAGAGGGTATGTTTAATCAGAAGGGAGTGTTGAGCATCATCTTCACATGGATGCTGTGAAGTAAGTAGTTTTATCTCTGTTTTACAGATGAGAAAACAGGCTGAGCAAGGAGAAATGACAACAAAACTGTAACTGTAACAAAGTTGCCCTAACCCACCTGCAAACTTATGATTGAAAAATCCATTGCTGTTGCCCCTGAGATTTGTGGGGTGTTTGTTATGCAGCAAAAGCTGACTGAAACAAGATTCAAACGCAAGTGTCTTTGATTCTGTCTGTGTCACTATGCTGTCTCACTGAGCTTACAGCCCTGATTCCTGTTCCTGATTCTCAAGTGTCCTGTCCTAAATCGAGCAGAGATAAATATTGTATTCATCCATTTTCTGATGTTATAACAGAATCCCGCACTGTTGGTGTTCTGAGTACACTGACATTCCTTGATGCTAGATTTTATATTGTTGATTGACTTGTTTATCATCTCTCTCCTCTACGAGATTAAAATTTTCTCTTTATTCACTGTATTTTTATATTCATACCACCTGGATCAGTTTCTGGCACATAATAAATGCTCAATGAATATTCATCAAGTAGATGATTGAATGAATAAATGATGATAAAAAGGAAGGTGGAAAAAAACAACTTTTCGTCTTAAAACAAAGCCCTGAGTCCTTTAAGGTCAGAATAAAGAATAATTTCTAGGTAGGGACAGAAAGTTTAGTACATGATGGGGTCAAGAATCAAGGTAAGAAAACTTGAAGGTGTGAGGCTGGACAAAGTGTCTCATGCCTGTAATCCCAGCCTTCTGGGAGGCCATGGTGTGAGGATCACTTGAGCCCAGAAGTTTGAGACCAGCCTGGGCAACATAGTGAGACCCCTTCTCTACATAAAATAAAATAAAAATAGCCAGGCCTGATGGTGTGCACCTGTAGTCCCAGCTACTCAGGAGGTTGAGGTGGGAGGATTGCTTCAACCCAGGAGTACGAGGCTACAGTGAGCTATGATAACGCCAGTGCGCTCCAGCCTGGGTGACAGAGTAAGGACCTGTCTCTAAAATAACAACAAAGGCCAGCACAGTGGCTTACACCTGTAATCCCAACACTTTAGGAGGCTGAGGTGGGCAGATCACCTGAGGTCAGGAGTTTGAGACCAGCCCGACCAACATGGTGAAACCCCTGTCTCTACTAAAAATACAAAATTAGTCGGGTGTGGTGGCACATGTCTGTAAATCCCAGCTAGTCAGGAGGCTGAGGCAGGAGAATCGCTTGAATCCAGGAGGCAGAGGTTGCAGTGAGCCAAGATCACGCCATTGCACTCTAGACTGAGCAACAAGAGTGAAACTCCGTCTTAAAAATAAAATAAAACAATAACAATAACAACAATACAACAATGCAAATAATACAAATAAAAATTAAAATATAGTATCACAATTATTTACATTGTATTAGATGTTTAGAGATGACTTAAAGAATGTGGGAGGACTGCATAGACTATATGCAAATACTATACCATTTTATATAAGGGATTTGAGCTTCTCTGGGTTTTCATATCTGCCAGGAGTCCTGGAACCAACCCCCCATGGATGCTGAAGGATGGCTGTACTCAGAGGTCCTTCCACCCACTGTCATGCCTGTCATCATCCACCCTGCATAGAGAGAGGTTTGCGGAAAACCCCTGATCATTAGACACAGAATACAGAAAACCAGTTTCCTGACTCCTTCTGGTGTGAAGGAAAGAACAGGGAGGTTGGGATGGAAAGTTAGATTGGAAAGACAGACACTCCAGATATTTCTTAACTTTTGATTATTCCAGCTGACAAGACACGCCACACCTCAATGTGTACTGAGTGTGAGTCACTTCCTTCTCCAAGCCTCAGTTTCCTAATCTGTAACATGGGGATAATGTTTATACCTACATCCCTGGGGCTGTTGTGACAATAAGATAAGGTCAGGTAGATGTAAGCTGTATGTGACTGTAATGTCCAGTGCCCTTTTTTTTTTGAGACAGAGTCTCACTCTGTCAACCAGGCTGGAGTGCAGTGGTGCGATCTCAGCTCACTGCAACCTCTGCCTCCCAGGTTCAAGCCATTCTCCTGCCTCAGCCTCCCAAGTAGCTGGGATTACAAGCATGCACCACCACTCCTGGCTAATTTTTGTATTTTTAGTACAGACAGTGTTTCTCCATGTTGGCCAGGCTGGCCGAGAACTCCTGATTACAGGTAGATCCATCCACCTCAGCCTCCCAAAGTGTTGAACAGGCGTGAACAACCTCGCCCAGCCTCCAGTGCACTTTTTGTTACACACTGAAAAGGAATAGTGTGTGGAGTCAAACTGACCTGGGTTGGAGTTCAGCTCTACCACTCACTGGCAGCATGGCTTTGGGTAAATGCCCCTTCTCTGAGCCTCAGAATCTGCATGTGTTCAGTGGGGCTATTAATAGTTCTCAACTCACAGGCTTGTTTTAGAAATTAAATAAGGATTAAATTATATAAGTGCCTGTCGTACAGTAGATGCTCAGCAAATGTTCCTCCCCAAACACAGACACAAACAGCACTTAAAGCAACCTGGGTAACAAAGGGGTTTTCAGTCTGAGGAGAAAACAGGCAGCTAATGAGCTCTCTCTCCAGTTTCCTTCTAAGAGAGGAACTCACTGGCCAGAGTCCAGGATGGTCACCGATGCAGAGGACAGGCAGCCAACTCCAAGCCTCCCACGTGGGATTTCCAAAAAACTGTGAGCACAGAGTTGCATAACCTGTCCCTGAGACACGTGTTTCTACTGAAGTGTCTTCATCAAATATTCCCAGAAAGGAAACATGGGAGCAGGGCAGTAGGGCAGCCTAGCCAGGGAGGAAGGGAGAGAGGGAGGGATCTAGAGAACACGAGAGTAGGGGTGACAGGAGGAAGAGAAGGTACCACATTTAATGTGATCCTACTATGGGCCAGCCACCGGGCTTGTTTTGTCTGATACATTGTTAGATCCTTGCCATAAATCTGAGATCAGGCATTTCCGTTCCCACATTCCAAAGGAAGAAATAATAACAATCATATTATCATTGCTGATGTTAACATATCGCCAACTACACATCAGGCGGTGGACTAGGCACACGTTTGACCCTCAGGACAGCCCATAACATGGGTACTATTCTGAACTCCACTTTATAGAAGAGGAAACCAACTGAGACTCAGAGACATGAAGTAACTTTCCCAAGGTCACCCAGCAGGACAGCAAGACGGCTGGAGAGCCAGGATTCAAATCTGAGCAGGGCTCTCAAGCCTATGGACCTATGGGAGAACATTTCCCAAGGGATTTATGGGGGTGGATTCAGAAGGTGACCTTAGCGATTGTCCTTACATGCACGCAGTGGGGCCCCAGTGTGAGAGTGACGGAAGAGACCAAGTGACCAGAGGCACTCCCCTCCCCTCCACCCAGAGGACAGTTTGTCCCAGCTTGTGGCTGTTCGTCACTCTGCCTCTGACCTAAAGTTTAACATTTCATTCATAAGTTTGGAACCACAGACTTGGCAGCGTAGGAAGAACCCTTGGAGACCGGCTATTCAAATCCAAACCCCTCATATTACAGATGGAAAAAAACCCTGAAGCCGGAATGTGACTCGCCAAGGTCACAGAGCAGTCTTCTGTTGGACGAAGGAGCTGGTTTAGGGTCAACTACAGATCATCTTGTGCTGTAGTTACCAAATGTGGGTGCACCTCTGGATCACTTGGGGAGCTCTTTAAATATGCAGATCTCCACAATTCTGCTTTGGGAGATTTGGACTTAGTTTTGCAAACAAGGACTGGAAATTTGAATATCCAATATGTTCCTCAGGTGATTCAGATGGCACAGCTCCACGACAACATCTGCAAGTTGGAGTCCCTCTTCTTTCATTTGATAGTTTGGGATACTGGGACCCACCGGGGACTCGCCCAAGGTAACATAGCAAGCCAGTGGGGCTCTAGTTCAGACTCTGTGGCCTGAAGCAGACTGCTTGTGTTCAAATTTCAAGATGGGCCACTGAAGCTAAACAAGCGGGTTGCCATGATTTTCCCCAGCTCTTGGTTTCCTTCTTGGATCCAAATTAAGACAGAGGATGGTATGCATTTCTGAAGCTTGGCAAGGCGGGAATCCAAGAACTGAATTCCTGAAGGGAAAAGGAAAGGGTGGGAGGTTAGCTTGCACGCCCATTGGGGTTTGCCCAGAGGTGAGCTCCGGACTCCAGGGATGACATCAGACATTCCAACCAGCCCTAATGTCGAAAGCTACCTGTGTTTTCTAGTTCAGCAGAATGGGTAGGGAGGGCCTTCCCTATTGGGAGGAGATGGGGTGGAGTGGGCCCAGCTGTGACGTGAAGGGGGCAGAGTCCAGGAAGAGCCACGCATTCCAGCACCTGCAAGGAAGACATCGGCCCTGGCTATTGTCACCCTTTTCCTAAGCCTTTCCTAAGCCTTTCCTCCCATTTCTCCCTAATCCCTCACCTCAGGGCTAACTGAGCAGAGAGATTCACTGCCCCTTTTCCACTTCCTGCTACTCCACCACCTGACTATTTTACTATCTCCCTTCCTTCATCTCCCTCTTCCTCCCTCCCTTGCTCCCTTCTTTCCTCTTTTTTATTCTAAAATGGCATCTCAGCTGGACACAGCGGCTTATGCTTGTAATCCTAACACTTTGGGAGGCCAAGGTGGGAGGATTGCTTGAGCCCAGGGTTCAGGACCAGCCTGGACAACATAGGGATACCCTGTCTCTACAAAAAAATAAAATAAAATAAACTGAAAAATTAAAAAAGTCAAGTGTGGGCCAGGCGTGGTGATTCATGCCTATAATCCCAGCACTTTGGGAGGCTGAGAGGGGCAAATCACTTGAGGTCAGGAGTCCAGACCAGCCTGGCCAACATGGTGAAATCCCGTCTCTACTAAAAATACAAAAATTAGCTGGGCATGGTGGCACATGCCTGTAATCCCAGCTACTCAGGAGGCTGAGGCATGAGAATCGCTTGAACCCGGGAGGCGGAGGTTACAGTGAGCCAAGATCATGCCACTGCACCCCAGCCTGAGCGACAGAGCAAGAGTCCATTTCAAAAAAAGCCAGGTGTGGTGGCACATGCCTGTGGTCTCAGCTATTTGGGAGGCTGAGGCTTGGGCCTGGGAGTTTGAGGGCGCAGTGAGCCATGACTGCACCACTGCACACCAGCATAGGTGACACAGTGAGACCCTGTTTCAAAGAACCAAACTAAACCAAACCAAAACTAAACTAAAAGGCATCTTGATGTTTGGAGTCAGTTGTCCTGAATTTGAATCTCAGCTCTGCTCCCCGTGAGCTCTCTGACCTAGAGAGTCACACCACCTCCCCCATAGCCTAGTTTCCTCTCCTATAAAAAGGGGATAATAGCTGTATTTTCTGATTGTGAGGATTAAACAAGATCATGTAAACACTTAAGAAACAGATGTTTTCTCAGAAACACTAGATCATGTGCATCATCAGTGAACTAGAGGAATTTGAATACATATTTGTTGAACTGAATTGAGGTGCCTTAAAGAATGGTTGGGCTGGAAAGCACCTAAGAGATCTTTGGGCCTTAGTAACTCCCAAACTGGTGTCCAAGTCAACTGTTCAGGGTATTTCCAAATGATAAGGACAATCGCATACTCTCAATAAAGTCTCAGGTTTCTTTACTTTTGTCTGGAATTGTATCAGCTCAAGGTGATAACATGGCTAACACAAGCCGTTCAGAAATTCTGATTGGCAGTTACATGGCTCTTTGATAAGTTTTTTTTTTCTTTTTTTGAGACGGAGTCTCACTCTTTCCCCCAGGCTGGAGTGCAGTGGCCGATCTTGGCTCACTGCAAGCTCTGCCTCCCAGGTTCACGCCATTCTCCTGCCTCAGCCTCCCGAGTAGCTGGGACTACAGGCACCCACCCCCACGCCCAGCTAATTTTCTGTATTTTTAATAAAGACGGGGTTTCACCGTGTTAGCCAGGATGGTCTCAATCTCCTGACCTCGTGATCTGCCCACCTTAGCCTCCCAAAATGCTGGGATTACAGGCGTGAGCCACCACGCCGGGCCTAAGTTTTTTTTTAATAAGAAAATAATTACTGGAAGGTAGATTAAATGGTGGAAAACGTTAATCATGTCCAACTCCTCATTTCATAAACAGGGAAGCTGCGGTTTAAAGAAGGAAGTGGCTTCCTGGTCACACTGGGTGGCATAGCTGGCCCTAAAACCCAAATTCTTTTCCTGGAACCAGTTACTTCCCTTCTTTCCACTCCAGGGAGGGGGAACCTAGGATCAATGAAGTTGATGAGTTTTCTTCTGCTGGAGTAGGAATAAGTGAGTCATCGACTTGCTGTTGCTTTCTCTGTTCTTGACTCATTCAGCAAATATTTACTGGCTGTCCACCATTCGGATTTGGAAGATAGATAAAATAGTCATGGCAGCAGAGAGGGTCAGGATTTACTCCTAGGTGCAACTTCAGAATCTGTGCTTTTTCCCATTTGGCACCCACATTTTAAAACACCCACTACTCTGCCTTCTAATGTAGTTCAACTGTGTCTCAGGGCAGGGACTGTCTTACATGTACATGTTCTAGCCTTCCTGCCACCCAGTGGGTGTGAAATCAATGTTGTAGTGTTGAGGAACACTTGAATTTAATTTACTTCATTTATTTATTTAGAGACGGAGTTTTGCTCTTGTTGCCCAGGCTGGAGTGCAATGGCACAATCTTGGTTCACCGCAACCTCTGCCTCCCGGGTTCAAGCAATTCTCCTGCCTCAGCCTCCCGAGTAGCTAGGATTACAGGCATGCGCCACCACGCCCGGCTAATTTTGTATTTTTAGTAGAGACTGGGTTTCTCCATGTTGGTCAGGCTGGTTTCGAACTCCCGATCTCAGGTAATCCGCCCACCTCAGCCTCCCAAAGTGCTGGGATTACAGGCATGAGCCGCCGCACCCGGCCAACACTTGAATTTTAATCCTTACTTTGCTACTAACTGTGTCGCTGAAACAGTATGTTGCTTTCCTTCTCTGGCCATTAGCTTAACTATCCGTATAGCGGGAACAGTGGCAAACTCCTAAGTGGAGGAGCTTGCAGGTCCATTTCAAGCTATCAGACTCTAACTGGGAGAAAACACTGAGAATGTAGGCTGAAAATAGCGACACAGTTTATCACCTCGTTAATTCCCAAACATCATTACTGCGTCCTAATCCACCCCACCTCCCTCTCCCCAGCCGCCTTCCTTTAAAAAAAATTTCCCTCTAGAGGGCGCGCAAGCTCTGCGGCCTTCGTTCCTCACTTCCGTTTGCCTTCACTCTTCCTTCTGCGCATGTGCTCAGTTCGCTATCCGGCTGCTAGTACCTTGTTCAGGCGGTTCAGGCAAAGGTTGCACCCACTACGCCTGCGCAATCTCAGCCCCGCCCCTCCGCAGCTTTCCCCGGAAACGCTTCTTTCCTACGGAGTCGCTCCCGCCGCTGCGGTCGCTGGAGCTTTGCCTCTCTAGGCCGGCAGCGCCTCTCCTCCATGGTCATGTCTGTCAGCGCTGTTTTGGGAGCCAGCGGGTGAGGCTGGGCCACGCTCGAACACTTCGATCGTCGAGTCTGTCACTGGTGAGTAGACCCCAGAGGAGCTCGTGTACGGGCGGGGGCCGCGCAGCCGGAATGGGCTGGATTTCCCCTCACTCTGAGAATGGGTCTGTCCGCCCCGCCTTCCCCCTAACTCTTGGAATGGGCTCACCCCTTGGTTCCAGTCCCTCCTCCCGGGCGGGGCGGCGTTGCCACGGCGACGGGCCGCTGGCTGAGGCCCGGCTGGTGTCCCTGCAGGGCATGGCGGGTCAGTTCCGCAGCTACGTGTGGGACCCGCTGCTGATCCTGTCGCAGATCGTCCTCATGCAGACCGTGTATTATGGCTCGCTGGGCCTGTGGCTGGCGCTGGTGGACGGACTAGTGCGAAGCAGCCCCTCGCTGGACCAGATGTTCGACGCCGAGGTAGGGTCCCCGGGCTGGCGCGGGTGGGGTCTCGGCCTCCCCGACTAGGCTTTGTGATCCAGCACTACTGTGCTGTAGACCTGGCTGGGTCACCTTCTTGCTTTGTAGCCCTGGGAAAGGGATTTCACCTTTCTGAGCCTCAGTTGCCTCATCCATAAAATGGAATGACAGCAGAGGCTGATTAGTACAAAGCAAAGGGCCTGGAAGTTAATACAATAAACACGTCTGTGTTCCAGACAACTGTGATACATTTCCTTTCTGATACTCTAGGAAAGTGACTTAACTTCTCTGAGCTAGGTTCTCAGGTGCCACACCGGAGAGAAGAGTAGATAAAAGAGCATTCATGCGGGTACAGTGGAAACTGCCTGGACTTTGGGGTCAGGACAGGCCTCCGTTTAAGATCCACTTACTAGCTGTGTGACCTGGGGCAAATGTCACCTCTGTGAACTTGTTTTCCTGTCTTCAAAACCATGAGACTAGTTGCAACGAGGTCGTGGACTGCAATATGCAATATAAAGAGCATGTGCGTTGGATTCAGAAAAGCAAGTGTTCAATCTAGGCCTAACCATATAATATTAGCTGTGGGACCTTGGGCAAGTTGCTTCCCCTTCTGAGCCTTTTCTGAAAAGTGGGCAGAATACGCCTGTCATGTCACCCTCAACAAAATGTTACAAGGCACAGAGGGGTTTAGGAATAAGAAAGTACTTCGTAAAGTGTAAAGGAGGCCTGTAAGTTGTTACGGCTAAGAGGCAGCTGTGGCGTGTGGTGGTGAGCACAGTTCTTAAAGCCAGGAGACCTGGGGTGGAGTCCTTGCTCCTGCTGCTTGTTCTCTGTGTAGCCTGTGGGCAAGTTATTGTCCAAAAAGTGATAAGAATCAAAAGAAGAATGGCTTTGTGAGGTTTTTTTAGGGATAATACAAGATTGTGTATGTCAAAGACCTTTCTTTGTCAGCTGAAAGTGTGGTGCAGATGTTTGGCATTTGATAGTATTGTGTTAGATAGTGGAGGTTGCACACCCACCATGTGCCTAGTTGTAGTGTCATAGGAGCCTCTATCCTCCTGGGAAGAGCTGTGGCAATGCTGGGCTTTGTTGAAGAGCCATCTGATGCACACCACCTGGGTTCTAGATTAGGGATCAGCAAACCTTTCCTTTAAGGGTGAAGTAGTAAGGATTTTAGGTCACAATTACTCAGCTCTGCCATTGTAGCCCAGAAGCTTCTATAGACAAATACATAAGTGAATAGGTATGGCTGTGTTTCAATAAAACTTTATGTACGGGAGTAGATGCCTGGCCTATGGAGCCATAGTCAGCTGAACGCTGTTCTAGACTTTACTCTTGGTGTTTATTACTTTGGGCAACTTAACTTGTCTGAGCTTTTACATCCTCCTTTGTAAAATGAAAATAATCCCCTTCCACCTGCTGTGAGAAACAAATGAAATCCCATAATGGATGTCTATGAAAGCACCTAGTTGGAAATAGGCTGCCGTACAAATGAAGGGAGGTATTATCTTCTGTGCTCCGGGAAGAATGCTTGTTCCTTAGGAGGCTTGCTGAGATCCTGGGGCTCTGCCAAGTCACTTCTCCAGCATATTTCCATTTGTGATTCCCCCTCAGATCCTGGGCTTTTCCACCCCTCCAGGCCGGCTCTCCATGATGTCCTTCATCCTCAACGCCCTCACCTGGTGAGTATCACCAGTTTGGCTATCCAGCTTTTGGGCTCTTAGCGCTGGGACTAACTTCCTAAGTTTGAGCATGAGACAGGTTGGCACTTGTTTCTGGGGAGTGGTGGAGTAAGGTGGGTGACAGAGGCCAGTTCTGGGACCGGCTGTATCATGGGCTTCCTTCCATTGCTATTTTGACTTACCTGGAAAGCTCTTATGTCACTATGTTTGTGCTGCCTGCAAGACAACTTCCATCTCAGATAACTTCCCTGATGTGGAGTGAGCTGAGGAAAGGATTCGACCGAGAGGCAGGAGAGCTGAGTTCTGTTCTTGGTTTGTGTGCCATTGGCCAAGTTACCTGCCATGGGCCTCAGGCTTCTCTTTTGTCCATGAGGGGTTGGACTCGGTGACGTCTAAGGTCACACATAATCATTGCCTGTCTCTTAAGAGGCAGTTTAGCATAGTGATCAAGGTCTCAGGCTCTGGAGGCAGACTTATTTGGCATTGAACCTCAACTTTACCACTAGTCTAGTGACTTTGGACAAGTTAATCAACCACAGTTGCCTCATCAGTAAAATGGGGCTAATAATATTACCTACCTCATAGTTGTAAGGATTAAATAAGTTAATTCACAAGAAGGACTTAGAACAATGCCTTGCACGTTATTATTATTCTTGTCCTTACACTGGAGATTGAAAACTGGTGGGCTGACTTTGACCTAAGTTTGTCTTCCAGATAGGTTCTATTTGGCTTACATAGATGTCAGCCCACACACGGTGTTTAAAACATTTTTTTCACTTAGTTGAAAATCAGGCTATTTTATATAAAAATCCAGATTTCTGGCTTCTCTTGAATAATGGAATGACTGATTGATTCTAGGCCAACCTTCTAGCATGATAAGATTTGCCTAGATGCAAGTAACTACTGCCCCCACTTTAGCTAGAACATGTGTGCTTCAGGGTGTCATAATCCCCACCAATTCCTAGTATCCCCTAGTGACAATTGCCATCAATCATCAAGCTCATACTCAGTCAGCTTCACTCTTGACATTACCCGCCAGGTTCTTCCAGGCATCTAATATCATAACCCTTGCTTCACACTTACCTTGTCACTTCTGACCACTATGCTGCCATCCTAATTGTCCCTACCCTCCCAAATAACCTAAGACCAGGACAACCCAGTGACAACTCACTGCTGTCCTCTCCCCACAGTGCCCTGGGCTTGCTGTACTTCATCCGGCGAGGAAAGCAGTGTCTGGATTTCACTGTCACTGTCCATTTCTTTCACCTCCTGGGCTGCTGGTTCTACAGCTCCCGTTTCCCCTCGGCGCTGACCTGGTGGCTGGTCCAAGCCGTGTGCATTGCACTCATGGCTGTCATCGGGGAGTACCTGTGCATGCGGACGGAGCTCAAGGAGATACCCCTCAACTCAGCCCCTAAATCCAATGTCTAGAATCGGGCCCTTTGGACATCCTGCTGACACTTGGGCCCCTTAACACCTTGGGCTGCCCAGACCCTACAGATGAGGTCCAGCCCAGATCTGAGAGGAACCCTGGAAATGTGAAGTGTCTGTTGGTGTGGGAGACATAGTGAGGGCCTGTCAAAGAAGGCAGGTAGCAGTCAGCATGACAGCTGCAAGAATGCCCTCTGTCTGCTGAAGCCTTGGTATCTGAGAGGTCAGGAAGGGGACCTCTTTGAGGGTAATAACAGAATTGGAACCATGCCACTTTTGAGCCACAATACCTGTCACCAGCTTGTTGTTTTAAGAGAGAAAAAATATCAAGGATATCTGATTGGAGCAAACCACTTCTTTAGTCATCTATCTTACCTCCCTGGGACAGCTGTTACCTTTGCATTGTTGCCAAATCACAGCAGTTATGTTGGAGAAACGCTTGGTTTCTGGATCCAGAGCCACAGAAAGAAATGTAGGTGTCAAGTATTAGGCTGCTGTCAGGGAGAGGATGGCAGATGGATGCATCAAGCACAAGGAAAATGCACAACCTGTGCTCTGTTACACGCACGTTCGTGTGCACCCAAGAACCTATGACTTTCTTCCAGTTCCTTCTGCCAGGTCCCCATCCTGCTGCCAGCTCTCAACATAGCAGGCCATAGGACCCAGAGAAGAATCCCAGCGTTGCTCAAAGTCTAACCATCATAAAGACACTGCCTGTCTTCTAGGAATGACCAGGCACCCAACTCCCACTGGACTCCAGTTCTTTTTCCTGCCTTATTTAGAATTCTGTGGCGGGAAGGATATGATGGGTTCCCAGAGACAAGAAGCCCAACCTTCTGGCCTGGGCTGTGCTGATAGTGCTGAGGGAGATAGGAATTTGCTGCTAAGATTTTTCTTTGGGGTGGAGTTTCCTCTGTGAGGGGCTTGCAGCTGTCCTTCCTGTGTATATAAATACAGTATTTTCCACGGTTCTGCCTGTACTTACTTTGTAATGCCATGGTTGAGATTGAGAGAGATCAGCGCAGCCAGGCAAGGGAACTTTAAAGAATTATTAGGCCACCTTCTCCCTTTCCTGGACCCCAGAGTCATTCCTCCATTTGGTTAAAATACTCTGCAGGGAACTCTTACATCCTGTCTCCTTCACTTGCAATGTCCCCTGCTATGCCTCAGGTGAACCACGTGATTCTTGAGTTTCCTTTCCTACTTGCTAGTGATTTCTGAACATGTTCAATGGAGTGGCACACAGTCTAGACCCACTTCTGCATTGAAACCTTCACTGTTCCTCTTTGGTTTCTTGGGAGCTTTCCCAAGAGAGCTGTCAGTTTTCAGCTGTCAGTGTTATGGTAACACAAATGAGTTTTGCTATCTCCCTGAGAAGCCCATCCGACCTCCTGGCTGTCAGCCCTACAGAGTAGGGAGTTGATACTGACAGGATGAAAGTTTAGGAGTAAATATGCCTGGGAAGAGACTGGGAAGGTTCTAGGGTGAGGCACCTCAGTAACTCATGGTGCCTTGGCCAAGTTGGAAGGAAGCAGTTTGTTAATGGGGTGTGGTAATCCTGGCTGTAGGGTCTAGAAGGTAAGACCAGTTGGGATGACCTTCCCTGGGTTGATCAGTTTCCCTCTAAACAACACAAACTGTACAGGCATGTGACTGACTTTGAAAGAACACCCATCATGTGGCTGCTGTCACCCTTGACCAGCTGTGGTGGTGGTTACTCCATCTGTGGTTGGAGCACCTCTTTGGGATTCACTTCAAGGTCTTGTGCCACTTTTTCTGCATATCTTCTGTGATGACAAATCTCTGTCCCCTGAGTGTTAATTTGATTTTTAGAAATGGCCAAAAGTCACGTGATCCAAACTTTTTTTCAGTTCTATGGAGACTGAGCTGCATGATAGTTGGGGATCAAAAATATGTGACCTTAATGAGATTTTTGTGATTTCTAAAGTAACAATAAAAGCAGTTTTTAGAGTTGAGTTCCAGAGAGGGCAGGGCAATGGCAGTGACATGTTTGTCATTTTAATAATAAATAACATCTATTGAGTACTTAAGAGGTGTCCAGCAGCATGGGGTGAGTGCTTTATGTCTCTTTTCAACATCTTCACAAGAACCCTCTGAAGTAAGAAGTAACGCATCTGTATCTTACAGATGAGGGAACTGTAAGGAACTTACTCAAGGTGACTTTTTAGGAGCTGGCAGAGCCAGGATTTGGGCTTTGATAGTGATATTAATAAGCTCATTTTGAAGAGGTCAATAGTTTTAGGGATGTATAAGTTCTGACTGGTTAAACAGTCTGGTTAAATAGTCTATCACCTTATCATATCATGTTATCCTGTCATATTTTTTTTAAATACCAAGGATGAATAGTACCTTATAAACAGTATTAGCTTTCTAAGAAAAGCTGATATGCAGTACATTAAATATAGCCAGACATTTCCTTTTTTTTTTTTTTTTTTTGAGGCAGGGTCTCACTCTGTCACCCAGGCTGGAGTGCAGTGGTGTGATCTTGGCTCACTGTAGCCTCAACCTCCCAGGCTCAATGATCCTCCTGCCTCAGCCCCCCACCCCAGTAGCTGGGACTACAGGCACATGCCACCATGCCTGGCTAATTTTTGTATTTATTTATTTATTTATTTATATTTTTTTAGAGACAGGGCTTTGTCACTTTGTCCAGGCTGGTCTCGAACTCCTGGGCTCAAGAGATCCACCTGCCTTGGCCTCCCAAAGTGCTGGGACTTTACAGGTGTGAGCCACCAAGCCCAGCTGGTTTTTTTTTTTTTTTTTTTGAGGCAGAGTTTCACTCCGCCTTCATTACCCAGGCTGGAGTGCAGTGGCCTGATCTCAGCTCACTGCAACCTCTGCCTCCCGGGTTCAAGCGATTCTCGTACTTCAGCCTCCCAAGTAGCTGGAATTACAGGTGTGCACCACCGTGCTTGGCTAATTTTTTTATTTTTCGTAGAGACAGGGTTTCATCGTGTTGGCCAGGCTGGTCTCGAACTCTTGGCCTCTCAAGTGATCACCCACCTCAGCCTCCCAAAGTGCTGGGATTACAGGCCTGCCTGAGCCACTGCCCAGCATTGGCCAGAGATTTTCAAGTGATCTTAGGAATGTGGGAAATCTATTTCCAAAGGATAAAGGGTGGTACCTAGATAAGAGAGTACTAGCCCACTACTGAGTTGGCATATCTCTTAACTCTCCAGGTGTCTGAAGTTGACCTCCCTTTTTCCCACCCACCACGTGAACTCGGGCCATTCAGAAAGAAAACTGGAGACTCCTACATAGCTGATGCTCAGAATAGTTTATTACCCTTAAAGGAGAACAGGAAAGGAAAAAGGGATGTCTGGCTCAGAGGGTACTTCTAACCCCTCGCTCTAGGCAGCCCTGTCCATATCAGTGCCAAATGAGAGCCAGGATGGCAGCCAGCAGACATCAGGGGGTACAATCTGAAGCTCCGGGACTCCCAACATCCTGGAGGGTACACAGCTCAAACAGGCTCCCCTGGACAGGAATCCCCTTGGACTCCTTCCTCAGTGACTCCCAGGTCAGTAGCTTCCTTCTGCCAGGCCCAGAGGGCAGTCAGTGCACAGGTGTGGAACACCTTGTGCTGGCAGCCCAGGGACCACGGAATCTCAGAAGCAGGGCCCTGGGGACCTAGGGCAGGAGGAATAGGGATAGAATCAGCGTACAAGAGAACTCTTCTGTGGAGAGATTAAAAACCACCGTCTTAAGGTTTTCTGTTGGAAAGTAGTAAAGGGTGGTAGAAATAGCATTGAGGCAGGAGGGAGTAGAGGGAGCTGAGGGTTTTAGTCCCTGCCCTGCCACTACCTGGGCAAGTCACAGTCATAGGGGTCCAATGCTGAAAGGCTTTAGAGAGCTGCAGTGGAGTACAAAGTCCTGGAGTCCCATTACTACCTGTGAGATCTTGGGTAAGCTATGTTATCTCCCTTACCTAGAGTTCCTCATATGTAAAATGAGCATAATAATGGTACTTATTTCCCTGAGTTTTGTTTTGCCTTCTTTTCTGGTAAGTCAACACTTAATTCTATAAAATGGAAAAAGTGTTCCCTCCCTGGTTTTACCGTGAAGATGCAATGAGATGTCATGTGTAAAGCGCCTTAGCCCAGCACCTGACATGTAGGAAGTGATCCATAATTCTAGGCAATTATTAGGCTACCGCCCCCCTATCCATTTTACAGAAGAGGAGACATTTTTCTTCTGAGCCTGTGTTTTCAAATGTTGGGGGATAGGCTTGCCAGTCCTCTAGGTACGACTACCAAGTATTGAGCTCCTATCTGGCATGTACTGCAAAGTGATTTATGTGTATTCTTACTCAGTCCAATAAGGTAAGCACCACTATTTCCCCCATTTTGCAGACAAACTGAGGATCGGGAGTAAACAACTTTTTCCTCGTTACAAAGTTGGTAGGAAACTAGGCCTGTCTGCCTCATCCTCTTTTCACATTCCAGTTACGTTTATGTGTGATCCAGACAATTGTGAGATAGACAGACTTAGGGATCTAGATGCCATATGCCGTATTAGCAAAAGGTTGTGAATGTAAACATACATTTGGCTTGTTAACAAGTAGATAGCTCCCTAAAGGTGGGTAGTTAGGTAGCTGCTGATGAGAAATGGAGCCAGGACTGACTGGCCACAGGGCTTTATGATGATGACCCTGGTGTGGCGTGAGAAAAGGCCAAACATTTGTTCAGTGCCCCACAAACTGGCTTCTCCTACATCAAGCTTGATTTGCTTAAAACCCCCTGAAACAGACATTAGTATCACTATTTTATAAACATGAAATAGGCTCAGAGAGGTCAGGTGACTTCTAAAAAGTCACTCAATATAAAATCAGATTCACACACTTCAATTTTTTCCCAGTTAACTGTTAAGCAGCCATTTCTGGGGTGGCTTCCTCTCCAAATCAGTGTTACTGGGCCCAGAGGAGGAGCTTTAGGTTGAAATGGTTAAACAAAGGGAGGTTGGTAGTGGGGAGACCCCGGTTGTGGAATTGTGGGAGGCAGGTGGCCAGAGGCCTAAGTGCCTGGGCAGGTGGGATGAGGTGGAAGGAGCCTACTGCTGGGATTCCTTCACTCCCAGGCCTGCCCCTTGCTGCCCTGGCCATGCTGGGTCCCCGCCTTCACACACAGCCCTCCCCTATACTCGGTGGCATTCCCAGTGGGCAACTGGGGCCCAACTCCAGCTCTCTGGAGCAAAGTGAAGTTGCCAGTCTCACTCAGGCCCACCCCAATCCAGCCTCCACTTGGGGCTCCCTGGGCAGGCCCCCATGAAGGCTAGTGCAAGGGGGCTCCCCAGAAAGGGTCGGGTTTTTTTAGCTGGGAGGGCGCTGTCTTGACTGTCGCTGACAGCGCGCTCAGGACAGAAGTTCACGCAAAGGTTGATGGAATGAAAGAGTGAGTAGAGATTATTTTCGAAAGTTGATGGAATTGAAAATACCCAGCAAGGGAACCGCAATGGAGACTGTTCAGGAAATGGGCTGGAGTGCAAGCTGGGTGGGAAGACCCGTGGAAGTGGAGGTTACTGGGGTGGAGGTGGCGCGGGAAGTGGCGGGGTGGTGGGGGCGGAGGTAGGCACCGTAGGGGAGCTCCAGGAAGATTGCACTGGGAGGTGGAGCTCGGGAGCGCGCAGCAGCCACTATGTGTGCTAAGCAGTCCCCGCACCGTGGCTCTGCCCAGGCTGGTCCGCGCGGCTGCTGATGCCCAGTAATAGTGGGGAGGAGTGTGTGAGTGGGCGGGGCGGGGGGCGAAGTCCATCCAATCGTTCTCCCTCTCTCCCAAACTGGAGATCTATCTTCATCGCTGCCCTGACCCTCACCCCCAGAGAGCTGTGTGCCCCTCAATGGCTCCACTGCTCTCCCGAGGGCGCCCACTCCACGCAGCCTGCCTCTGGGGAATATGGAGGCCTTTGTCCGGAGAAAACTCGGGCTCCCTTGGCTTTCCTCTCCGCAACGTCTAAGTTAGGGTCCTGTGACTCCTACCGACAGAGGGTGACCCCGGCCAGATGGGGTCGACCAGGGCTTGGGGTTGAGGTCTTCGGATTGAGGGTGGACCTGCCATGTCATGCTGGAGCAGTAGAGATGCAGTACCAGCTCCTCCGCCTGATCCGGTGCCTTCTATGATCTGTGACGAAGGCACGACACATTTGGAGGCCCAGCTGACATCCACTTTTTGACACCAGCCGCAATGCAATCAGTTTTTGACAATCATTTTTTGACAATCAGGTCGCAATGCACGCGCATGACCCACAGGGTGCTGGGGCTATTCCTCCTGCCTCGTGACTTCTGAGCAGGCTGTCATTTCACCTTTTCCCTTTCTTGGGAAAATGGAATGGGGAGCAACCAGGAGCCCTTGCTCCTGCCACTTTCTAGCTGAGTGAGCCTGGACAAGTTACTTTCTGCCTCCGTGCCGCGGTTTCCTCTTGTGGGCTCACGGGGCGATTGTGAGGCACCTTGCATCCAGGAAGCACACGAGCGCCCTGACTTCATAGAGCGCACCACTCAGGAGACCAGCTCGTGGAGGTGGGGGAGGGGTGCAGCTCGCTGGCTTATTTGGTTCTAGACTGACCTTCGGGGCCAGGGGGTGGAGGTGGGGGAAGCCTGAAGTCGCGACACAGGCTCCCTCTACCGAAGGCCTCTTTCCTTCATCCTTCCCAGCCCCAGACAAACAGGCAGAGTAAGCAGTATTCATCTTAGGTGCCATATGGAAGATTTTATTTGTAGACTCGTGAATTTCGCCACCCATCCCTCCCCTTAAGCTGACTGCGCGATCTCCACCCTCTGCTCGCACCTCTGGCTCCCGTCCTGGTCACATCAACCTGCCAGCAGAAACCTCGGTGTTAGATGCTAAGACTGTCCCCAGGGGGCACTGGTCGTTTGGGGAGCGGGCGCAGGGACAAGGGTGCTGTGGTGTCTGTGGTAGGTTGGAAATGGCTTTGCTAAAAAGGAAAAGCCTCCCTTTAAGCTAGACCCGGTGGGCACTCACCCCCTTCCTTTCATGGGACTTTAATCCTCCCACGAAAGGGCTGGAGTATTTTCTTCTTTTTTTGCTAAGGAACTTTCTGTTCAGAGTAAATCTCTTTTTTTCCTTTCTTTTTTTTTAAGACAGGGTCTTGCTGTCTTGCCCAGACTGGAGTGCAGTGGCGAAGTCACAGCTCACTGCAGCCTCGACCTCCTGGGCTCAAGCAATCCTCCAACCTCAGCCTCCTGAGTAGCTGACACTACAAGCGCAAGCCACCACATCTGTCTAATTTTTAAATTTTTTGTAGAGACAGTGTCTCATTATCTTGCCCAGGCTGGTCTTGAACTCCTGGCCTCAAGCAGTCTTCCTGCCCTGACCTCCCAAGGTGCTGGGATTACAGGCGTGAGCCACCATGCCTAGTCTGTTCAGAGTAAATCTTATTTGAGGCATGAATAAATCAAACATGAATGGAGAGTTGAATTGATCTAAGAGGGAATGGGATGCAGCAAAGCCCTACTTGACCATCTCCCCCTCCCACATTTGGAAATCCTTAAACCCACTTATGTAGGCCTCTGACTGTGAGATTCAGAGCCACAGCAGTTTCCACCTCTGCTAAGGCCTTCAGGCAATGAAGGCTCACTTCAGTGCGCCTCCTTCCCCAGGTCTCCTAGCTGTATCCTGAGAGGCCTCAACCTAGTCACTACCCTGCTGTATGACGTTGGTCTAAGGCTTCCCCATCTCTGGACATGAAGGTGGAGCCTCCCAGCACTGCCATCCACACACCACTCAAGACTCCAGATCCTGAGCCCTGACTCTGGGCCCCAGATCTGGGCCTGGCTTGGGGCTTGCATCTCACCTAGCCTGGCAGTGTTGTTATCACACCCACCTTGTATGGATGCCACATAGGCATTTCAAGTGATGCGGAGCAGAAGCGGGTGCAGCGGCGCTTGACCCAACGCAGGGTGGAGGATCTGCACATCACCCGGGGTGCCGGGAGGTGGATTCGTGTGGGCAGCCCCTCAAACCAGATCCACTGGTCGGCTACATTCAGCTGCTTCATGTGCCCCATGGGAGTTCTATTGTGGTAGGGCTTAATGAAGATGACTCGGGGGCCCTCAGTGAGTAGTTGCCTCCCCTGGGCTCCAAGGTTCAAGCCATGATCTCTCGATGTCCTTGGAACCTCAGGCTCTACATGCTTTTCTTTCCATGGCATTGCCGCCGATGACGTTTTTGCCTTGTTACTCATCCTTGACTGCACCTGGGGCTTCCACTCCTTGTACTCTTTTTTCTTAGGGTCCCCTGTGGACTCTAATTTCTTGGACTTGAGTTCCTTCTTGGAGCACCCGATCTCCTGGAACTCTTCATTATTTTGTTTCGCTTTATTGCAGGCACTGTTTTCCCTGGCAGGGAGAGGAAAGGCAGTCAGCAGAGCAGGACCAAGGCCCTGGTTGCCTAGCCTTGCCCCGAGACAGTTGATATGTAGTCAGCTCAGGGGGGCCTGTTAATAAAGCTAGAGGGGCATGCAAAGAAACTTCTCTGTTGCCCAGAGGCCTTGTGCTGGTATGAGGGGGTGTGATGAGCACTGGCAGAAGGGATATGAGAGATTGGGAAGGTGAGAGCCATGACTAGTAGTTAAGGCCCCTAGGAATGGATATTGTCTACATCATCTGCCACTAGATTAGAATTCTGTCTCTCTGGACTTCAGGTGGGAGGGTGAACAGTCTAGTAGTTTTTCTAAATTGTGCTCCAAGAAACCTTAGGGTTCTGAGGAGGTGTCTCAATGTCACTTCCCCTCACCGAATGGGGGCAGGATACCTCCCCCCAGCCCATAACAACACAACTGGGGCTTGGGAATAGATATTTGAACAGAGGTTTCACTGCTTTAATAAAGTTGGGAAACTGTTCAAGACCAGCGTGGGCAACATGGTGAGACTCTGTCTCCATACAAAAAAAAAAAAAAAAAAAAATTAAGTTGGAAAATGATGGGGCTAGATGATCCTGATCCTTTTAGCTCTGTGTTTCCTGACTGCCTGCAACTAGAGGCCAAATGAGAAAGAGGAGCCCAGAAAGATGGCCTTGACAGAAATATTAAATGCTGAGACTTTCCCAAAGGGTGTCTGTAACAGACTGGGCCCCCTGCAAACCCCCCAGTGGCAACACCATCCTAGCCAAGGGTGTGGAGAGAGATGAGGCCTTGGGCTGCAGATAATGGCAATACTGTGATGATAATAATGGCTCCCGCTGATTGAGTCCCCACTCTATGCCAGACTTGGGATCCTTACAACTTGGGATCCTTACTACTTCTGTAAAGTAGAAGGCAGTGAAGCAGAGTGGCTTACAGAGCACAGATGTTGTTAGGTTCAGACAAACGGGCTCAGATTCTGCTTCTGCCTCTTACCACCTGTGTGATTTGGGCAAGATATTTAACCTCTCAGAGCCTTAGCTTCCTTATCTGTAAAACTTGGATAATTCTGTCTACCTAACAGGATTGTTGTGACGAATAAACTACCTGGGAAAATTCTTAAGTGCTTAGCATAGTAGATGGCACTTAGCAGGCACCAACCAATGTTAGCTTTCTTAGTACTCTCATGTGACTTACGAGCAAACGGTTTGAACTTGTCTCGGAGGCATGGTTAAAAAAAAAAAAATATATATATATATATATATATATAAAGAAACTGAGCCTCAGCAAGGTTAATCCTCAGATTTGAGGGGTCAGTCTGCAGGTGACTGTCTGGGTTATATTGACTTGCAAGGGGAGGAGGAGGAGGAGTGACCTGTCTCAGTGCCCCACAGTGGAGTGAGCACCACAATCGGATGACTACAACCATTGTTATGGCCACAGCTCTGATATCAGACAGGAATGGCTTCAAATCCTAGCTCTGCCACTTATCAGCTGAGTTAACTGAGTGAGACAAGTCACTTCACCTCTTGAGCCTCAGCTCTCTAAGAGTAAAACAGAGTTAATAAATACCTCTCTCACAGAGGCTTTGTGAAAATTAGACTTGTTCTCTAAATTCCTTAGCACAATGCCTGTTCCCAGTAAGACGGCATTTGGGTCCATTATGGGGGCCAGGCCCCAGCTTACCCAGAGGAGATTCGGAGAATCTTTGGAACACTGAGCAGTGAATGCCAACACCTTTTGGCCAGCTTATGCAGTTCTTGGATCCGGCGGTTCGAGCTCTTGAGTAGCTTCAAGAGCGACAAGTTTTTTAACACCTGCCGGGGTCGAGAAACCAGATGAATAGAAGCTTCAGCTTTCCTGGACAGCCTCCCTCTCCCCTGCCTGCCTCTAGCTCCGCTCAGCCAAGGGCCGGCCTGCTGGCTCCCCTGGGCCACTCAGCCTGGCAACCAGGGGCAGCACTGCATAAGTATACGAGCTTCCCCAAGCTGGGACCAAAACAGGGCATCTCACCGTTCTCAGACGGTTCCGCTCAATTACTTTGCTCAGAGGCTGCTCTGTCTTGTCCTGTGGTTTCTCATCTTGCATCTGAGGGACAGAGGATAAGAGAGAGACATAAATCCAGAGGAATCAGCCAGGCGTGGTACCTCATGTCTGTAATCCCAGTACTTTGGGAGGCCGAGGTGGGTGGCTCATTTGAGGTCAGGAGTTTGAGATGCCTGGCCAACATAGTGAAACCCTGACTTTACTGAAAAAAATACAAAAATTAGCTAGGTGTGGTAGCATGTGCCTGTAGTCCCAGCTACTCAAGAGGGTGAGACAGGAGAATCACTTGAACCCAGCAGGTGAAGGCTGCAGTCAGCTGAGATCTCGCCACTGCACTCCAGCCTGGGCGACAGAGTGAGACACTGGAGAAATCCTCCTGTACTCCTCCATGTGCCTCTCCATTTGGCCGAGCATGGTTTGACCAATCCTAGGCTGGGAGTTTTGTCATCTTGGTCTGGGGACAGAACTGGGAGACCATTTTAACTTTCCTGACCTCCCTTCACCCTTCACCTTTGCCTTTTCTCCCCTGCTGGAAAGTCCTGTCCTTGTCATGGTGATTCTTTGTTAAGGTCCCCTCTAGGGACTCACCCCCAGGGTCTAGTCCTAAGTCTGACCTTGGAAACCCTGCTATTCTTGGGCCTCTTCTTTGCTGATGGACTCATGCTGGGGCTGTGAGACCTCAGAGACGAATGGAGCAACACCAGTGCCAGGCACCCACCCTGCTCCTCTCAGTTCAGCCAGCACTCAGGCTGGGCATCAGATGGTGGTGCTGGCTCTGTACCACCTGCAGCTGTGACATCACTGAAATGTGACAGTAGCAGGGCTGGGTCTCCAAGGTGTGTATGTGGCAGAGGTGAGGGGTAGAGGGTGAGAAAGAAATACAGACAATAGGTGACAGACAGCTGTGTACATTGTCACTACCTCCCTGTGAGGTAAGAGGATTATCCCCTCTTTTTAAATGAGGAAGCCAAGGTTCAAAGAGGTTGAATAATGTACTCAAGGCCACACTAGATCTAACCCAGCTAGATTATAGTGGGCTGGAAACCTAACAAAGTCTGATAGTCAACCCATGAAACCAAGGATTCCCAAACCATGCTCATCCATTCAGTCATGTCGCCTGTTTTGACTGGGCGCCTGCTACATGCTAGGTGCTTTTTCTTTTTTCTTTTTCTTTTTTCTTTTTTTCTTTTTCTTTTTTTTTTTTTTTTTTTTTTTTTTGAGACAGTGTCTTGCTCTGTCGCCAGGCTGGAGTGCAGTGGTGAGATCTCTGCTCACTGCAACCTCCGCCTTCTGGGTTCAAGTGATTCTCCTGCCTCAGCCTCCTGAGTAGCTGGGACTACAGGCACCCGCCACCAAGCCCAGCTAATTTTTGTATTTTTAGTAGAGATGGGGTTTCACCATGTTAGCCAGGATGGTTTGGATCTCTTGACCTCGTGATCCGCCCACCTCCGCCTCCCACAATGCTGGGATTACAGGCGTGAGCCACCACGCCTGGCCTTGCCAGGTGCTTTTTTCTAAGTGCTAGAATAACAGAAAAATTCTTGCCCTCAAGCTTACATTCTCTAGTGGAGGGGAAACTGTGTGTGTGCTTGTAAATGTTTAATAATTGGCTCTCTGAAGCAAAATGTATATGTGTTTGTATTATAAATTTTACTGATAAAAACCAACAAATAATAAAGTCCTATAATACTCTTTATTGTAACTTCTATTAGTGAGTTGCTTCTTACAGTATGCTTTTCTTGGATTTTGCCTAACCCTTCTATTTGTAGCCAACCTATGGTTGTAGTGGATAAACAAGTATAATACCAAAATTAATGTTGGCATTTTCATTTACACTAAATAGTAAGAAGGTGAAAAAGTGAAACAACAGAGATATTGAAATTTAACTCATTTATCAATGACTTCATTGACCTATTTGCTGAATTGGACCATAATTTTTGAATACTGGAAGTATATTTTTCAGATTCTTTTTGTTATTTACAATTGAACAGCTATGGACAGGACACTTGCTTACGTTTTCTCTTTTTTGTTGTTTTTGGGGGGTCTTTTTACAGATCTATATATGATTTATATATGATATATTTCTACTATACAGATATACAGATATAAAGAATTCTAAGAACATAGGTAATAGTAAAAGGTGGTAAAAAATAGAGTGACAAGTTTAAGCATGTTTCACCTTTGTTTTTAATGTCACATATTTAATTGGAAGTTGCTATAAATTACATTTTAATGATGGCCATGCCTAACAACCAGCCTGCAGAATTCCTAGAAATGTAACAGTAGACTTCTGTGAGCCCTTATGAGTCAGCTTCAGCACGCCAATGCTACGTCAGATGGAAATAAGTGCCTGGAGAACAGCAAACAGGGTAAGGGGAATAGGGAGGGCAGAGGTAGAGGGTTTGGTTTATTAAAAAGGTGGTCTAGGAAAGATTCATCAACAGGATGAGATTAGAACAAACACCTGAGAGGGAGAAGATGAGGCAGAGAGGGAGTTGTGGTGGGTTAGGCAGATCACAACAGGCTTTAAAGGGCGCTGGCTGCCCTGAATCCCTGGTGCCCAGCTGGCTGCATCAGAATAGTATGAAGAGCTTGTGAAAAACATTTTTGTGGGCACCACCCCATTCAGTAGGCCAATCAGATAACCAATCAAATGTGGGACCCACTCCACACCCTTCCACTTCTAGTGGGGAGAGATGTACATGCACAGGGGGTGCTTAGCTCTGAATGGAGGGGTGAGGGGCCAACCCTAGGCTGTGGGACAGCTTCTCACATATAAATATCCTTTTTTTTTTTTTTTTTTTTTTTTTTTTTTGAGACGGTCTCGCTCTGGAGGGGAGGGGGTGGGGCTCATGAGCTCGCTCCGGGTCACGCTTCTCCTCAGCCTCCGAGTAGCTGGACTAGGGCCCCCTCCCGGCTATTTTTTTTTTTTTTTTTATAGAGGGTTTCACCGTGTCACAGTGTTGATTCTGACTCGTGATCCGCCCGTCTCCCTCCAAGTGCTGGATTACAGCTTACCACCACCCCTAAATATCCTTTCTTATTAGAGTGAAGGTTAGGTAGTGGGTTAAACTGCTGCTGTGGCCTAGGGAAGAAAGCAATGTGATGATTTGGCAAGGAAGACACAGAGGGTACACCCTCTCTCTCTCCTGTCTACCCCCATACTCCTTGGCTGCTCTGCCTGCTCAGACATTCCCTTCCTTGCACACAATTTCAGCTCTGATCAACTGGACTTCACTGAACAATGCTCTCTGAGGCCCTGGTGCCTGGCGGGCTGTATCAGAATCACCTATACTCCATACTTATCTCCTGAGCTTCGAGGGCTGGGGAATCACTGTGTGCGAGGCACTGAGGGACAGCAACATTATAGGCAGAGCATGCCTCTGAGTTCACAGACCAAGGGGATAGGTACTCCTAGAATGTAGACTCCTCAAGGGCAGGTATTTGTGTCTGTTTTATTCATTGATTAGCCACCAGATCCTAGAACAGTACCTGGTGGACAGTGGGTGCCCAAAAAGTATTTTTTGAAAAATGAAATAAATAGCATTGTCTATGATATGGCTAATACTGAGGGTTGTGGGAGCACAGAGGTGGAGCCTCCCAACCCAGCCTGAGGACATCAGGGACTCTTCCTAGAGAAGGTGAGGAGGAATGAAGGATGAGTAGATGTTGGCCAAGCATAGGGGTATGGGGCCAGTTGGGGGAGGTGGGCAGAGCATTCTCAAAAGAGGGAATTTAAAGAATGTGAGTGTGGAATGGAATTATGTCATATGTTGGATGTTGCTGGAATAGAAAGTAGGGGCCAAGAGTGGCGGGGGCGAAAACTGGAGAAGTGAGTAAAGAGACCTACCCAATGACACACAGCTGGTAAGCCTTGGGGACTAAATCCAAGGCTGTTGAGTGAAAACCTCCACTCTTTTTTAAAAAAAATATGGTATAATAAGATATGGATAACATGAAATTTACCTTCTAACCATTTTTGTTTTTGTTTTTGAGACATAGTTTCACTCTGTCGCCCAGGCTGGAGTGCAGTGGTGCAATCTTGGCTCACCACAACCTTCACCTCCTGAGTTCAAGTGATTCTCGTGCCTCAGCCTCCCCAGTAGCTGGGACTACAGGCCCACATCACCATGCCCAGCTAATTTTTGTATTATTAGTAGAGACGGGGTTTCACCATGTTGGCCAGGCTGGTTTCGAACTCCTGACCTCAAGTGATCTACCTACCTTGGCCTCCCAAAGTGCTGGGATTACAGGCATGAGCCATCGCACTCAGCCCTAACCATTTAAAAAAGTAGTTAAGTGACATTAAGTACCTTCTCTTTGTACAACCATCATGGATATCCATCTGTAAACTTTTTTATCCTATGAAATTGGATCTCTGTATCCATTAAATAATAACTGCCCATTTTACCTCCCCCAGCCCATGGCAACCACCGTTCTACTTCCTGTCCCTATAAATTTGACTACTCTAGGAACCTCATATAAGTAGAATAATACAATATTTGTCTTTTTTTGTGACTGCCTTATTTCACTTAACATGTCTTCCATGTTGTAGCATGTGTCAGAATTTCCTTCTCTTGGCCAGGCACGGTGGCTCACGCCTGTAATCCTAGCACTTTGGGGAGGCCAAGAAAGGTGGATCACCTGAGGTCAGGAGTTCGAGACCAGCCTGGCCAACATGGTGAAGCCCTGTCTCTACTAAAAGTACCAAAAATAGCTAGGCGTAGTGGTGGGCACCTATAATCCCAGCTACTTGGGAGGCTGAGGCAGGAGAATCACTTGAACTTGGCAGGTGGAGGTTGCAGTGAGCCGAGATTGCGTAACGGCACTCCAGCCTGGGCAAAAAACGAAACTCCATCTCAAAGAAAAACAAAAACAAAAAAATTCCTTCTCTTTCTTTCTTTCTTTCTTTCTTTCTTTTTTTTTTTTTGAAATGGAATCTTGCTCTGTCTCCCAGGCTGGAGTGCCGTGGTATGATCTCGGCTCTCTGCAACCTCTGCCTCCCGGGTTCATGCCATTCTCCTGCCTCAGCCTCCTGAGTACCTGGGACTACAGGCACCCGCCACCACACCTGGCTACTTTTTTGTATTTTTGGTAGAGATGGGGTTTCACCGTGTTAGCCAGTATGGTCTCGATCTCCTTACCTTGTAATCTGCCCGCCTCAGCCTCCTAAAGTACTGGGATTACAGACATGAGCCACTGTGCCTGGCCAATTCCTTCTCTTTTTAAGGCTGAATAATATTCCATTGTAAGTATAGGCCACATTTTCTTTCTCTGTTCATTCATTGGTGGACATTTGAGTTTCTTCTGCCTGTTAGCTATTGTGAATAATGCTACTGTGAACAAGGATATACAAACATCTCTTCAAGGCCTTGCTTTCAGCTTTTGTGTAATACCTAGAAGTGGAACTGTGGAAGTGCTGAATCATACGGTAATTCTCTTTTTAATGTTTTGAGGAACCACCATATTGGTGTTTGCAGTGGCTATACCATTTTACATCCCCACCAACCATGTACAAGGATTCCAGTTTCTCTATATCCTTGCCAACACTTGGTATTTTCTGTTTCTTTGATAGTAGCCATCTTAATGGGTGGGAGGGGGAGGTTCCACTCTTTTGTTTCCTCTCATACTTCGTTCTTTAATTTCTTTAGTTAGGTTTACTGGGGTATATTTTATATACAGTAAAATATGCCTTTTTTAGTATACAGTTCTTTAAGTTTCGATAAATGCATTCTAGTATAGAATACCACAGTCAATATATGGAATGGCTTCATAACCCCCCTAAGTTCCCTCAAGCCACCTCTTTGTAGTTAACTCCTCTTCCCACTCCCAGC